AGGCGCCGAGCCATAACCATAACCTTAATAGCGTTGTTTCCTATTCTTTCTTTACCATAAAAAAAAGTCTGATCAAACAAATGGAGAATTTCATATTTTCACAATACTCTCCAAAAGTTGGATTTTTTTTTTTTTTTTTTGCCTTACTCAAGTAAAGGTAGATCCTGAAACAAGGTAGCAAGAGAAGGAAAAAAATAAGTCTGTATTTTTTTGAATGCATGAAGTGGTTAAGAGATAACCTTGAAAACAGCTTAAAAATTTCTGTAGACAACACCATAAATAAGCCACACAACAATTCAAGAAGCATTTATTAAACACCCATATGTGCTCAGCACTGTACTAGGCACTCGGGGGTGCAGAGATACAAATGTAAAAGTTATTATTCCTGCCCTCAAGGAGCTTACAGTTTAATTTTGAAAATAAATACAAATGTGAAACTACAATATAGACTGCTAGAAAATGATTACAAAGCAATATTATTAGTAAGGGCATGGACCACATACAAACCCAAAAGGAAGTGCAGCACAGAATAATGAAGGTCTCAGTATGAGGTGAAGTCAACCAGGGAGCACTCACTCTGAAGATAAAGAAAGCTAGACTTTGAAGGCAGTGATGAACATGACCTGGAACCAAAGAGAAATCTAAGCAAAAAGAATACCAGGAGAAAGGCACAGAGGCAAGGGCTCATAAGACAATAGTAGAAGGCTATCGAAGTTTGAATGTGATGAATCATGGTGAATATACTACAGAATAATGAAGGCTGAGGCAGATTAACACATTAACTGCCATGCGAGTTGTATTTAACTCACACTAGTTTTGAGCACAGGGCCTCATGAAGCACATGTAACTCACACATCTTTTGACCTTGGGAGCAGCAGGGTAAGCAGGCAACTTACACTGCCATGCTGTAGCATACACGTTACATGATGGATGGCCCACTGGGCAAAAACCATGTGGTTGGTTCATGAAAAAATCTTACTTGTTGATGTACTTATTGTTCCTATTAATAGTGACAATTTAATTCTAAAAATGTGGATTAAAGGAATAAAAATCAATAAATTTCATTTTTCTATTTGTTTACCTTAAAATTACACTTAAGCCTGAGAAGTCAAGAAAAATACTTTACCCTTATCAACTATTTTTCAAGTTTTCACATTTTATATCACTAATTTTCAAGTTTTTGTATTACTTTTTTATTAATGTATGTTTTAGGAAAAAACATTCTACACAAAAGTACACATTACATTTGCTGCATTTCCATGCTGTCTGTTTACATCTTTTCATGGCATATTCACGTCCTTTCTCAGCTTGTGTTTTTTCATAGCACACAGTACATCTTCTTCTGGCAGAGCCCATGTTTGTGAGAGAACAAGTCACAGTTGGCGACGGGAGCAACGGCACTGCAATACGTGTTTCATCTGTCTGGAGCAGTTTTAGACAGACTTGTTCTTTGAATTTTGTGATTGAGATCTTCTTTTTGTTCACAAGTCTGTAGAGAACAAGTGAGTTCACCAAAGCTAATTCAGTGATTAGCTCTATTGCTAATTTTCTGAACCACTTTATGCCATGTCTCAAAGAACATGAATATGACTTCAGTTGATCTGAGAGGCCACTGAACGTCTTTGAATTATTATAATCTACGAACATATGTGGTTTCTCTACAACACCTTTTCTTGTTTCAACTCCTTTAGTGTCTTTTCCATGCATAGTACTTAGCATCAATACATCTCTCTTATCCTTCCATTTGAGGACAATGACTCCTGTGTCACTTTCTCGAGCAATTACTTCATTCTTGTTCAGCTTTGTCTTTACTACATCTGGTGGGTTTAGTTTCCTGTTACTTCTTAGTGTGCCCACCAGATACGTAGCACGCTCAAGGAGTTGATGAGCTAGATGGATGCTGGTGTAGTAGCCATCAGTATATAAAACACGTCCACTATCTAGTAAACCTTCTATTAGCTTCATGACAATTGAGGATGAAACAGGAACGCCAGATTTTGCTTCCTTCCCACAATAAATTTTCACATTCCAGGTGTAACTGTCCCTTAGGCAAAGTTTGAAAAGTTTTATTCCAAATTTATGGCGTTTGTTTTTTATGTACTCTACGAAACTCAGATGTCCACGAAATGGTACCACAGTTTCCTCAATACAGATTTCCTTATCTGGAACTATAGCAATCTGAAACCTTTCAAGAAGACGATCAAGAAGTGGCTGGATCTTGAAGAGACGGTCACCAGGAGGACATTCTTCATTGTTGGAGAAATGCCACATTCTCAGAAGCATTTCAAAGCGGTTTCGTGATATAAGCTTTTTCACTGAATTGTCATACAAAATGTTCTTTGACCAATAGTGTGGAAGTCTTGGCTTCTTGCTAAGGCCCATCCAAAGCAAGACACCTAAGAATCGTTCCATTTCTTGAGAAGTTACATCATACCACTTTTTAAGTCGGGAGTGGGGTTTGATATTACCCTTCTGTAAAGTCTGACTTGCGTAGATATTAGTTTCCTTCACCATGTAGTCAATAACATCATCTGTTATGAAGAATTTGAAAAAATCATAAGGTGTTTTTTCATGGAGATTTACTGCAATTTCGTTTGGAACACCAGGGTTATTTTCAACAAAGTCAAAAATCTTCATGTTACTCCCTGAAACTGGACCCCAAGTCAGAGAATTTACACTAGTCACTACAGGTTCTTCAGAAACATCTGATGAAGAATCACTCTCACTGAAATTGGCTACAACTGATTTGATTCTGTCAGTAATAGATTTTGAACAACCTTCCCCACTGGAAAGCTCTGTATGTAATGTTGTTCTTCTAGTTTTTCTCGGTGGGCTGCAACTGCTATCAGAACTGTCCCCACTATCTCCACTAGGATGATTCTCCTCTGAATCATCACTAAATAGATCAACATCTTCATCACTCATGTCCAAAACTTCGTTCACCATTTCCTCCAACAAGTCCTTACGCTCATTTTCTCTAGACATTTTCTCCTGAGAACGAAAAATGCAAATTAAACTTATGTGATGATCACAGCTCTGGTCACAGAAGCTATACTAAAGTAGAACTGGTGGATAGGCAGGAAGGTCCATAGCATGCCTGGGCGCTGTGAAACCTCTGCTCATTGTTTTCGCTGTCAATCCGCAAGTCTCCCCCACCTCATGTTGCCCTGTTCCTGCTGGCCCGCCCAATAAGTGCTGGACTGTGTTCTCCAATTAGCCGTAACTTTTGATTGCACATTTTGCCTTCAATGTTTGCCTGATGGCTCTTTGAATGAAATCAATGAGATAGTATGCGGTGACATGATATTGTTGCACATACTTAGGGGGTATTACTCAGATGTCGTCATGTAGGACCACTTAAGGTCCACTCTATAAACCACTAAATACTGATGGAATGACAAGACTCAATTCTCAGAAACAAATTCAATAAGCTTCACGAGTCACAATTCCACATGGCATGCAGTGTAAAAACCAAATGTAGTGCCACATGAGTTACGTATAACTCATGCGCAGAAAACAAAAAAATAACAATTTTTCATTAAATTAGGAAGGATCATTTTGTTTTCATAGATTTTCTTCTATTTTTGTAATAAAACATTGGCCCCAAGGAAAAAAATTTTTTTCTAGTGTGGCAGTCAATGTGTTAAGCATAGAAGCATGGAGGACAAGGTAATGGAGAACTTGGAACACTACTGCTCTGACGGGAATTATTTGCTGTCATACTATACATTACATTGATTGAAAATGAGGCATTGTGAAAATGGAGTTCGAGGAGGAGCACCTCGGAAACTTTATATAAGATGGGGATCCTGAGAGCAAGAAAATTGGAAAAAAGAATTATAGTAACTTGCACTTTATACGATGCAGATCTACACCAAAAGCTATAATGGAAGGGTAAAACTGGGAGACCTCACCTCAGGAAGAAGATTCAGTAAGAACTGGATTGACAGCAAACTTTGGACATGGATAAGAGAGGGCAGAACAAATGAAAAGATAACTCCAAAGTTGAGATAAAAATATGAAGGGTAGTGAGTCTCTTCAGGGTAAAGTAGTTAAGCAATGATGCCCATTTAAAAAGAAAATGGGGGCAGGGAGCATATAGTGATGAGTTCTGTTTTCAAATACCAAGTTGTGTAATACTCAAATGCAGAAAATAGTATAAACAATCAAAATGGATAAATAAAAGTACAGAAAAAGTAATGAGTGAGAATAAAACATGGAGATTATTCTCAGTGGAAAGGAGGAGGAAAAAAGACCAATAAAGAAAAGCCAGATATTGTAGAGAAGTGACTGAAAAAGATCCCATAAGCCTAAAGAGAAAAGAGTTCCTGAAGTGCACAGGTAATTCAACAATATGAAACATAAATAAGATCAAGAAAGATAAGACTAGAAAAAGTGCTTCTAAGGACATTTCACTGGAATGCTGAATACGAAAGCCAGTTAAAGAGAAATTTTTAGAAGAGATTAATAAGAAAATGGGGCTGAAAAATAGATGACATGTTTGACAAGCCAAAAGTGAAAGAGGAGAAACAGAATATTTAGAAATGGGCAATGAGATTGACGGTTTTTCACATTTTAGGCTGTAGACAAACTACTACTATCATTCTAAATGCCCATCAGCCTTGCCTGGTACATGGATACTTAATTTCTCTCAACAATTCTACTTTCCCTTAAGCAGTTTAGAGAAAAATGTATTTGAATCTGTAAGTTATTATTACCATATCTTCCTAGTTACTGTTTAAACATATTTTATTTGTATAAATCAGCTTTCTAATACTACAAAGCATCAACATTTAAAAATGATATAATTATAATCCCAATGGCATTTTCAACCAATTTTCAAGTAATTGTAATGGATTTGCACTATATTGCACATTCTCTTTCCCAGTACCTCTCATGAGCAGGGATACATATTTTTAAATAGCTGGCCAGAATTATGGTGTTCATCATAGATAGCATAGCACAGTGCTCAGAGTAGAGGCTCTAGAATCAGACTGTGTAAGTTTAGATCTGTTCTATCAATTACTGGTTGTGTGATATTGATCAACCCACTCAACTCTGTAAGCCTTAGTTTTCTCATCTATAAAATGGGGGATAAAATAATAATACCTATGAGAAGCATGATAAATGCTTAATATAGGATTTGGCACACAACAAGTAATCAATAAATGTCAACTATTATTTGGAGATTCACAAGTAAGAGTAAAGCTAAATGCTCTGTATGGGAACCAACCACCACACTCTAGTACTGCCACTTTGTACCATGGACAAAATCTTTAAAATCTAAGATACCTCTTCTATGACTATGTTGTATGGCAAAAGAGTAATGGAGAACTGCCTTATTGTGCCAGGTCCTAAAACAAGAAGTTGAGGCTGGGAGAACAAAGTTGAGTAGTTACTTCAGATACCTGTGGGATAAAGGAGCTTTAATGTGTGTCATTCAGCTCAGAGTTCAAAATAATGTCATAGTGACTGATCAATAATGCTAGGTGTGAGAACTTGAGACTAGAAAGGACTTTTATTTATGTCCTCAAAAGAATTATAGCCTTTTCTATTATCTTATACCACTTGGCTATTTTTTTTAGATAGCTGAATTATCCTTGATAATTTTTCAAGAAACAAGTCTTTTTTCACATCAGCATTACAGGAATATTTCTATACATACTCATTTCTTTGAATTTCTGCCAGATGTTTAGTAATCTGAGATTTAAGTAATCTGGTACATGTTACTCTGGATACTGATGCATAAAAAGACATTAGCTTATGTATCTACAGACATTTCAATACATTGCTCTACTAACAGAGCATTTCACTGGAATAGAAGGCAAGTGTTTCTCTAAAGCATATGGGAGAAGTGTGTGTACACATACATGCACACACATGTATTTTCCCTCTGACAATGTAGCCCTCATATGTAATATCTGCATATAAGGTAGCACTGGCCCCAGGTAGGGTCATTATCTTAAAGAGGGTAAGGCACAACTGAAACAGAGAGCAAGGACCTAGATACAACCAGATTTACTTGTTTCTAGTTTCTTGAAATTTCAAGTACAAGGGGATTAGGAATGGTAACCTATAGGTCAAAAAAAGAAAAGGGGGAGGATAAGAAAACAAAGGACAATGGAAAAGACTGTTGCAAACCAAGATGACAAGTGATGATGGCTTCTTTTACCAATGGCTGAATGAAATAGATGTAGACAAGCTTGATGCTGTTGGTCAAAGTGGGCCATAGGGAGGTAAAAAAAAAGGGATATTACAGGGAAGAAATTTATGATCCGAAAGGTGGACCTCTATGAGGTAAGATTTTATGACTAATTTCTTTAACTCATCAATCATAAAATGATTAAGTGTTATCCCTTTCCAGGATAATTTCCATGTGAAATACTGGAGTTTTCATTAGAATCTATACAATTTTCTTCTGAATAGGAATCAATTTTGAGTTTGAGGGTTAATTTTGCACAGTCAAAAGTTATTCAATCCTAAGTCTGGTGAATAATCATATAGTCAAAATGAAATGTGTATGAGAGTAATATAGGGTTTTCTTTATGGTTTATTAAATGGCAATTCTAAGAGTATTCCAAATATTTGGAGGATCAGTAGCACTACTAGAATAGTATTTTGGAATAACAAGTACTATCTCATTTAAAAGACAACCTACTTAGATGCATAAATTCTGACATGTTAGTTTAAACTAGTCTCATTACTTTACATAGTATTCTTGGTATACTGAAAGTCTAAAAGATTAAATATAGTGCCTGGTGATGATCAGTTTAATAGTTTGTTTTTGTTGGTAGTTTACATTCATGGATTATAGACAGAGTGCATCAGAATTCACAAAAATGAGGAATTGTGAGGTAAGGTATTATGACAGCTTACCACTGTGGATATTAAAGTGATATAAGTTGACAGCAAGAACTAGATGAAAAACAATGAGTGAGGTGCTAAGACTATCTAAGGACATGGGTCCAAGGTAATGACAAGAGTGACTCCCACAATTCAGGGAGCTTGTGTAGGCTCATAGGAACCTGAGAGCAGTACTATAATGGGCCTAAAGCAATTAAAATACATTAGAAGGATTTTTATGTCTTCAAGCACCTCTGTCTCCTCCTTCCATCTGATGCCATGACTAGGATAATGCAAATATGCAAATATCTTTATATCATAGAGTCTGGTAGGGAGGTGGAGGGAGAGTCAGAAATCACCAAAAGATACAACTATCCAAGCTCAAGAAAAACTGGGCTAAGTCTCCACTCACCTCTTTTTCTGTATCATTCCCACAACCATCACTAATGTGTCCACTTCTTTTGCTGATACTGGGACTGGTGAAGAATATGTATGGATGCTCAATGACTGATGAAGTCAGTAAAGGAGATATACAAAGTAAAATGCTTGAGTGCTGTTAAAAATATAGCACTCTGAGTTTGCATGGGAATATGGATTTCCACCAACTAGAAGGAACATTAGAATAAAAAAATGCACATTAAGCATAAATGTCTATAAAAATTTTCCTAGAACTAGGATCTTAGAAAGCTAAATACAAATATAAGTTTCACATAGAGGCTGCTTTGGATTCTAGAGCAGCTTCTTAGATCAGATTAGGAGTACAAGGGCACCTGAAGGGGAATAAATGGGAAAAGGAGATCATAGGAGATGGGAAGAAGAGGAGGATCTAGGAGTAGCAGCCTCTCAAACCTATAGCTACTCACCCAAAATACAAACTTGAGGCACATGCCTCAAGTCATGACAGGCAACTTGCTCTAATGCTATTTTAAATTTCTAAAGGATAAATTAGGCCATCAGGAGCTCCACTCTACCAGATACCCCAAAGACAGTCAAGCTAATCAACTAGCAGCAAGGCACAGGGCCCAAACTACTAAAGAGCTATTCTAACTGCCACTACTAGAGATTCCAGCAATAAAATTGCAATGATGACAAACTTTCTGCCTTTTTAGTAAACACCTCTTACCAGTGCATGGTTTCTCTAATGCTGAATAAAGCTCAGACTATGACTGAAGCTTTTCATAAACTCCTATAGATTCAGATTTTTCACCACTATGAATTCTCTGATGTCGAATGAGACTTGACCTCTGAATAAAGGCTTTCCCACATTCATTACATTGATAGGGTTTCTCCCCTGTATGGATTCTCAGATGTTGAATGAGACCAGTGTTCCCATTGAAAGCTTTCCCACATTCTTTACATTTATAAGGTCTTTCTCCAGTGTGGATTCTCTGATGTTCAATAAGGCCTGACTTCTGACTAAAAGCCCTCCCACACTCATTGCATTTGTAGGGTTTCTCCCCAGTGTGACTTCTCTGATGGCCAATAAGATGTGAGCTTCGCCTGAAGGTTTTCCCACACTCATCACACTCATAGGGCTTCTCCCCAGTGTGGATTCTCTGATGTCCAATGAGGTGTGAGCTATGACTGAAAGCTTTCCCACACTCATTACATTCATAGGGTCTCTCCCCACTGTGGATTCTCTGGTGTAGAATAAGGCCCGCACTCTGACTGAAAGCCTTCCCACACTGATTGCACTGATATGGCTTCTCCCCAGTGTGGATTCTCTGGTGCAAGATCAGGCCTGTGTTCTGACTGAAGGCTTTACCACACTCTTTACAATGATAGCGTTTTACTTTGTTGTGGATATCCTGATGAGAAAGAAGGGCTGACCTGTAACTGAAGGCTTTACCACACACATTACACTGATAGGGTTTCTCCCCAGTGTGGATTCTCCAGTGGCGAACAAGGCCTGAACTCTGAGCAAAGCTTTTCCCACATTCATCACATTTATGTCGTCTCTCTTGTGTGGGATTTCCCCGCTGCCTCTCTAATCTGCCCAGAAGATCTCGGGCTTCTCCATGCTCAAGACCCCCGATAACATCCCCGTTGCATTTGGCAGCTGTCTCTCCGTGTAGTTGGATTCCAGTAGATATTACCTGTTTCGAAGCTAATTCCCTGTTCTCATTCCTGTTCTCACCACCTGAAATAAAAATGTAATAAACATCAAGCCAATGTTACTTCCTATTTTTGTGCTAGGAGAAAGGAAATAAAGATAGAGGAAAAGGAAAATACACATGAAACAGGTATAAGTAAACACAAAGCTGTCCCTAAAATTGTTTCTTAATAGGGGAAATATAAGCAGGGTCAGACAGAAGTAGTATAGGCCAAATGGGAAAGTGGTACCATGAAATAAGGTTACTGGAAAGGGAAGTAAAACCAAGAAGGAATCATATGAGATAAAGTGGAAGTTGGGAGATGGGAAGGAATATGGAACTAAAAGAACTAATGACTAGGATAGAAATAGGTATTTCAGTCATTTAAAGGGAGGCACAGCCAGGTATGGTTGTCCACACCTGTAATCCTAATACTTTAGGAAGCTGAGGTGGGAAGATCATTTGAGGCCAGGAGTTTGAGACCAGCCTGGGCAACATAGCAAGACCCTGTCTCTATAAAAAAAATAGAGATGTGGTAACATGTACCTGTAGTCCTACCTACTTGGAGGGTGAGGCAAGAGGATCACTTGAGCCCAAGAGTTTGAGGTTACCATATAGTGAGTTATGACAGCACCACTGCCCTCTAGCCCAGGCAACAGAATGATATTGTCTTTTAAAAAAAAAAGGAGGCACAATAGGCTTATATGAGAAAAAACTAAGTAAGGATCCTGTAGGAACTGCAAGAAAAAATGTGTGAACTTGGAAAGCACTAGAGAGATGTCAATTTCCAACTGGCAAACAGACCAATAGCCAGGTACAAACTGTAAGGAAGCTCTGGATTGAAAAACAAAAGTTTTGTTAAGAAATCTCAACATTGTATCCCACTGTTGAATTTAAACTATATCTTTCAGAAAGTTCATTTTTTTTTTTTTTTTTTAAATCTTAAATGATAATAACCACAGCTCTCCTTACCCAGGGAGAACATGTTTCTGTAATTCTCTGGCTTGTTATCTCTACTCAGATCTTTCTGTGATGGATCAAGAAGCCACTCCTCTCGAATAAGGGACACAGCCATGTCTTCGATCTTCTCCAAAGTCTGAAACACAACAAGATCCCCATTTGGGCACTGGGACTGTTCCACAGCTCAAACCTAGAGAGATCCACCAGTGTTGGGAGAGGATCAAGAAATGGGAATGTACTGTGTTAAAGGGATCTAAATAACCAGGAAGAAGAGGAAAATACATTAGATTGGAGAAAATCCAGGATCAATCTATCTCTATGCAAAAGAATTTGAGGCAAATTCTTGGGTAGGTACTACCATGAACAATCCAGATGTGGTACAGATTCCACAAACAGGGCTGAGCAGAGCTATGAGGTTTCAGTGAGAAGGAGTACAACTCACCTGGAAACCTGCTGTGAGAAGTGTAGCTGTCATTTCCTGGTCTCCAGAACTTCCTTTCTGGGAAGGGGTAGAACTCTGAGAAGTAGACAAGGCTAAGAGAGGAGAAAGGAGCTATAAGTGAGACCAGCCCTGTCCTGTGGTTATGGAAGCCAGCAGTTACCTGTTTTAAATTATTTGTATTTCAGCAGTTATGTATGCCAAAGACTTTGCATACAAAGTGCTGATGATTTGGATTCTGTGCCTATACCTATGGTTCCCACAAAACATCTGTACTCTGATATTATTAACTTAGCCAGAAGTTACCTCAAAAACATAAAGTATACTGGTTTCCTAACAGGAATCACTTTTCAGTTTTTTCTCTATTGCCAAAATTGTTTCTATCTCTGTGCTTGTGTACAGTTATTTTTTTAGGTTCTGCTCTGTTGGCAAACTGAATATAAGAACAAATCTTCTCTATTAACTCATTTACCTTTCTGAAATGTCTACCATGGCTGCTGGTATTTGCTTCCTATAGGTATCAGATAGCTTATTACCAAAATTATAACAGATTACTGTGTCTCAGGCAATAAACATTAAGAGTTTAGATAAGAATATTATTAATTGAAAGTTTCTTTGTACTTCTTTAGAAATATCAAAAATTCATACATATAAAACAAACTATAATCAACCACATAAGTGAAAAAACACAAAATATGGGGGAAGATGAGACTGGAACATCGTATGCTACAAGGTAGTAAGAAAATTCACAAAAACTAATGGGTAAATGTGAAAAAGACATAGGACCCAGACTGAAGAGGCCTCCTCTGATGACTTCGCGTTAAAACAAGACAGTATCGTAATATTTATGACAGAAATAGAAATTTAAGAGTAAAATGGGGTAAAGGGAATACTTTCCCTTATAATAAATAGCAAATGCAGAAAGAATGAAAGAGTTAGAAAAATCACTATTTTGTAACCATCTTTTTTTGTTTTGTTTTGTTTTTGAGACAGAGTCTCACTCTGTCACCCTGGGGTTCAGTGCCATGGTGTCATCATAGTTCACAGCAACCTTAAACTCTTGGGCTTAAGTGATCCTTGTGCCTCAGCTTCCCAAGTAGTGGAGATTACAGGCACCTGCCATCTGACTAATTTTTTACTTTTATCTTTTTTTTTAGTATAGACAGGGTCTCTTGCTCAGGCTGGTCTTGAACTCCTGAGCTCAAGCAATCTGCCCTTCTTGGCCTCCCAGAGTGCTAGAATTATAGCACTCACACTCAGCCCTGTAACCATTTTTGTAATCAATGATTTAATCAACAAGCGTCCAGGAATACTAAAACTAGTGTTTTAACAACAAAAGTTTAATGAGGTCTAGGATATTTGAGACTCAAGTGCATCTCCTCACTAATTATTAAACACAATGGGAAAAATAGTAACTTCACAATGATTAACCTAGCAACACTAAAACTAAGTCATCAAAGACAGTATTAGTACAGGACAAATTCCTGTTGTACCCCTGAGAAGGAATATAACATCACTTGTTGAGCTTTAGGTCATACTTGGCAGGGTGAGGTACTCCTGACAAATACATACAACCTGAATCTAAACCTGAAGAAACATCATGCAAACCCAAATCATAGCCATTCTACAAATTAAAACACCTGTATTCATCAACAATGTCAAGATCATGAGAGGCAAAGAAAAGTTGAAGAACTATACCAAATTAAAGGAAACGAAAGAGATATGACAACATGGCAAAGTGTGATCTTGGACCAGACTCTGGACAAGAGAAAACACTATTGGGACAACTGGCAAATTATAAACTGTGGCTATGATTAGAATTATAACAATGTTGTATTTCTTTCTTTCTTTTTGTATTTTTTGAGACAGAGTCTCACTCTGTTGCCTTGGGTAGAGTGCTGTGGCATCCTAGCTCACAGCAACCTCAAACTCTTGGACTCAAGTGATCCTCTTGTCTTAGCCTCCCAAGTAGCTGGGACTATAGGCATGTGCCACTATGCCTGGCTAGTTTTTCTATTTTTAGTAGAAAAGAAGGTCTGACTCTTGTTCAGGCTGGTCTTGAACTCATGAGGTAAAGCAATCTACCCTCCTTGGCCTCCCAAAGTACTAGGATTACTGGCATAAGCCACTGTGCCTAGCCAACCTTATATGTATTTCTTAATTGTGACAAATTGATTGTGGTTATCTATGAAAAGTCTTTATCTGAGGAAATGCATACTGAAATATTTACAAATGAAGTGGTATGATGATACCAGAAAAACCTCAAAAACGTCTATGCTGTAAATGTACTTGGTCACAGAAATGTGTTGATACACAAAAATCCCCAAATCCCTTCACTTGCTCATAAATTTATTACTGGGATAAATGGTCTGTGTTTGAAGCCAAGATAAATATTTCAGCACAGATACTGGGACTAGAACATAAACAAGATTTTAGTTCCTGATTCTCCAGATATCCCACATGTACTCTCTGCTTTCTACTTCTCCCTCTTCAACAGTAACAATTGGCTCCTCACCTCTCTCTTGTGGTCCATGGGGCACTGGAGATTTGTATTGGATTGCCGCAGGCTGGAGCTGAGTACATGGAGCATCTGGTGCAGATTCTGAATGTACTACTTCCTCCCAGAGTACCCTATGTCCATGTACACGAGCTGGGACCTGGAAACAATGAGACAGAGTACAAAGAATCCCTTTTGAGAAAAAACAACATAAAACAACCAAGAGCACATCTATGGGAATAAATGCTTGAGGAAGGAAGTGGCAAAATCTCTTTTACTTCCTAGGGACAGCAGGGACACAAACATGTAGACTAGCACAGAAAGAAAGGCATTATGTCTGCTTAGTATTGAAAGAAAGTATTTCTGTTAATCCCTTCCCTGCTATACAGAATTATTCTATACTCACAAGGCAGAGGAAGAGAAGAATAAAAAATAGAAACTTAAAGTAGTGCTATACAATGAAAAAAACCTTTTCATAAAGAACTAGAAAGCCTGAGTTATGACCTTAAATCTGTCTTTAATTATTTGGGTGTCCCTGAAAAAGCAATTTAAGCCCTCCTGGGCTTCAAGTTCCCATGTGGCAAACAGGAGCAATAATATAGTTGCAGGGATGTTTTGGAAAAAAAAAGATTAGTATCTCTTAAAAAATAAAAATAACTCTATAAATATAAGCCACATTATATTGTAACTATTTTCATCCTTATCTGAAAGAAAATGATACTAAGCATTTGCTATCCCACTACGATGCCAATGTCCCCTCTACCCAGCATCCAGGACTCCCAGTCACAGCATGCACTTCATGTTTTCTACTTACTGGTCGTCCCAGTATATCAATCTGTCTTTCCAAATCCTCTAGTAGAGTCACCACCTCCTCTCCACTCTCTAGCTGATGTTCCTTAACCAGAGACTGAAGCTCCTCAGGTAGGATGGTCAAGAACTGCTCCAGCACCAACAGCTCCAGGATTTGCTCCTTGGTGTTCAAATCTGGCCTCAGCCACTGATGGCAAAGTGCCCGGAGTTGGATCAGAGCTTCTCGGGGTCCCAGTGTCTCCTGGTAGCATAACTGCCTGAACCGCAGACGGAAGAGTTCTTGGCCAGGAGGGTTATTTTCATGCAGTCTAGATTCCTGGTCCCACCCTTGATCTTCCTCTACCTTGACAATTACAAGGTCCTCTTCAGGAGTCTGATCTGGTGGACATGAAGCTGAAAGCTTTCTTGATTCTTCAGCCATTTAGAGCCTGTAAAGCTCAGTAAGGTGTTTCCACTACCTTCTTTATCTCCTTATGAACCTTCCGAGAGCCTCTTTCTTCAGAAAGAGAAAATGATAAATAGGTTAAACCAAGTAAAAACCCTAAGACTATGACAGCTTAATAAGCTTTCCACTATGACATGGACTTCATAGCTTACCCATTTAAATGATCCTCTTCACTCTTTCAGAAATAACTCCTTACTTCCTTAACTTTCTGCCATGCCAGTTATATCAAACCCATCCAGGGAATAACCTTTTTCTGCTTTCATCTACAGTCCATGTTTGGGGATAAGGAACATGGCTAAACAAAGTCAAGTCTAAGACTAAATGAAATGCTATGTTTAACCTCAGCTGGCCATCAGTGCCAATCATTTAACTCCTTTTAAACATGTTTTAGTGGCTGCACTAAACTGTTTCGACACACTTCAGCTCTCAATTTCTCTCTCATGTTCAAAAGATGAGTGCTAAATTCAGTGGCTTATACCTGTAATCCCAGCACTTTGGGAGGCTGAGGTGGGAATATTACTTGACGTAGGAGTTCGAGACCAGCCTGGGCAACATAGTAAGACTCTGTCTCTAAATGGCAAGCACTTGTAGACCTAGCTACCTAGGTGGTTGAGGCAAGATCACCTGAACCCGGGAGTTTGAGACTGCAGTGAGATATGATCACACCACTGCACTCCAGCCTGAGTAACAAACAGACCCTATCTCAACAAACAAACAAAACAACCAAATGACTAATTTGCATACAATCTAACTCAAGGTACTATCAAGAACTTTCCCAACACCTTCCTTTATCCTACCAGTGGTTTCCATCTTCTTTCAAGGCTAAGCTCTTCTACTATGGACCAAAGAACTCCCTTTGGAGCACAGCGTCTCCAAGGCATTTAGAATGTTTATCCATTCCTCAGTTGAAAAATATCTGCGTTGTTTTTAGGTTGCAGTTTTTGGACAGGGCTGGGTTTGAACCCGCCACCTCCAGCATATGGGGCCAGTGCCCTACCCCTTTGAGCCAGAGGCACTGCACTTTCTTTTTGAAATAGAGTCTCACTCTGGGTACCATGGGTACTCTTACCATGGGTAGAGTGCTGTGGTATCATAGCTCACAGAATCCTCAAACTCTTGGGCTAGAGCAATCCTTTTGTTTCAGCCTCCCAAAGTAGCTAAGACTGTTTAATTCTTCTCTGACTTCTTTTATCAGTGCCCAAGGGACCTCAGGCATGCACCACTATACCCAGGCAGTTTTTGTATTTTTAGTAGAGATGGGATCTCACTCTTGCTCAGGCTGTTTTCAGTTTTTGATTGCAAATAAAGTCACTGTGAACATCTACATATGAGTTTTTGTATGACTATATAGTTTTTATTTATATATTTTTTTCCAGGTACAAAGTAGGAAGAATGTGGATATAGTTTTCACTTTACTCTGGTATGCACTTAACGGTAAAACTGCTAGATAATAAAATACATGTTTGTATAACTTTATAAGAGACTGCCAAACTGTTTTCAAAAGTGCTATCACACTTTGTATTCCACTAGCAACATATGAAAGCGACAGCTGCTCCCATCCTAACCAGTACTTGATGTGATTTGGTTTTAGATATTCGAATAGGTAAGAAGTAGTAAATGTATGTCATTATGGTTTTAACATCTCATTTATGGTTTAAATTTGCATCTCCTTACTAATAACGTTGAGCATCTTTTTATGTGCTTATATATCATCCATATATTCTCTTTAAGTATCTGTCCAAAACTTTTGCCTTTTTTTTTTTTTTAAGTTAAGTTTTGAGAGTTCTTTATACATTCTGGATACAAGTACCATATGATACAGATTTGAAAATAGTTCCTTCTTTTTCATTCTTCAAACAGTACCATTTGAAGAACAGAGGTTCATAGTTTTTTGAAATTTTTTTTTTTTTTTAGGAAGTATGCTCTTGGTGTCATATCTAAGAATCTTTGCTTGAATCAAGGTAACAAAGATTTTCTCCTCTTTTCTTCTACAGGTTTTAATTTTAGGTTTTACATTTAGGTCTATAAGCTATTTTGAGTTAATTTTTATAGAGTATGAGGTATAGATGGAGTTTCTTTTTTTATTGCATATAGCCATCAAAGTGTTTTAACACTGTGAGTGTAATGGATTATCTTTTATCCACTGAATTGTCTTTTTACCTTTCTCAAAAGACCATATGTATATGTCGGTTTATTTCTGGAATCTTTATTTTGTTCCTGTGACCTATATGTCTATCCTTTCACCAACACAAACTGTCTGGATTACATGGCTTTTATATCTATTTATTTATTTTTAACATAGAGTTTCATTATGTTGCCTCAGTAGAGTGCCTGGTGTCACAGCTCACAGCAACCTCAAACTCTTGGGCTTAAGTGATTCTCTTGCCTTAGCCTCCCAAGTAGCTGGGACTACAGGTGCCTACTACAATGTTAGGCTATTTTCTTGTTGCATTTGTCATTGTTGTTTTAGCTGGCCTGGGCCGGATTCGAATCTGCCAACCTCGGTGCACGTGGCTGGCGCCGTAACCACTGAGCTACAGGTGCCCAGTCATTATTTATTTATTTTGAGACAGGGTCTTATTCTATCACCTGGGCTAGAATGCAATGATATCATCATAGCTCACCACAACTTCAAACTCCTGGGCTCAAGTGATATGCCTGTTTTAGCTTCCCCAGCAGCTGGGACTACAGTTGCATACCACCATATCCACTAATTTTCTACTTTTTGTAGAGATGGGGTCTTGCTTTTGCTCAGGCTGGTCTGTTAACTACTGGCCTCAACCAATTCTCCCATCTCAGCCTCCCCAAGTGCTAGGATTACAACAGATATGAGCCACTATGCCCAGTCTGTGAATGGCTTTTAGTATCTTGATATCAGTTAGTGTGAGTCCTGCAATTTTCCTGTTTGTTTTTGAAATTGTTTTGGGTTTTCTAGTTCTGTTGCCTTTTGACGTACATTTTAGAATCTGCTCATTCATAACTACAAAAAATCCTGGAATGGGATTTGTGTTGAATCTATGGCTCAGTTTAGGAACAACTGATATTTTAACAATACTGAGTTTTCCATTCCATGAACACAGTACATTTCTCTATTTAATTCTTCTCTGACTTCTTTCATCATTGCCTAAACCATCTATTCTTTTTTTTTTTCCTGGCTGGGGCTGGGTTTGAACCCACCACCTCTGGTATATGGGGCCAGTGCCTTACTCCTTTGAGCCACAGGCGCCGCCCATAAACCACCTATTCTTAATTAAAGGAGGGAGTCTTTAAGAATATTGTTGCCTTTAAAATCCCTTCCTGATACCAGGTGTGGTGGCTCACGCCTAGCATTCTGGGAGGCTCAGGCAGATGGATCACTTGAGCCCAGTAGTCTGAGGTTGCTTCGAGCTACAACGCCATGGCATTCTACCCAGGGCGACCAAGTGAGACTGTGTCAAAAAATAAAAAAAATAACAAATATTTTCCTGGTGACTCTAATTTGAAGTTACTTCTCTTTCATTTGATACTTCTGCCACATAAATATATACTGCTTTACTTTTTCCATAACTGTATATTATTAGTTGCAAAAGAATTCTGACTTCATAACTTAATTGTTATTTTTCCCATGAACAGAAGTCTGTATCTTTTATCTCATTGATAGAATCAAAGAACAATAGAGGGCTGTATTTACAATACTTACAACAGAATGTGTCTATATTTCTTATAAAAGTAAAGTTTAGAGGGCAGTGCCTGTGGCTCAAAGAGGTAGGGACTGGCCCCATATGCTGGAGATGGCAGGTTCAAACCCAGTCCCGGCCAAAAATCACAAAAAAAAAAAAAACAGAAGTAAAGTTTAGAAACAAGACTGAAAGTCCAAAAACAGTCCAATTCCCCATGTCCTTGAGAAATAAACATCTACACTTTCTCTCCCTGGTGTAAATATCTTTTGCCTATAACTGCAGTAGTAACTGGTCTTCTTATCTTTGGCTATCTTTTTCTCCCATTCATTTTCCACAATATTGCTGTGGGTTAAAATTATGCCCTCCCCAAAGATATGTTGAGGTCCTAATCATACCTGGTACCTGTGAAGATGACTTTACTTGGAAAGAGGGTCTTTACAGACTTCGTCAACTTAAAATGAAGGTATACTGGAACAGAATGAGTTCTTAATCCAGTATGACTGGCATACTTTTTTTTTTTGCAGTTTTTGGCTGAGGATGGGTTTGAACCTGCCACCTCAGGCATATAGGGCCAGTGCCCTACTCCTTTGAGCCACAGGCGCCACTCTGACTGGCATACTTTTAAGAAAAGGAAAAGAGCATAGAGATAAGACACTCAGAGACAACATGTGAAGGACTAGTGCAGAGGCCATGATAGTACTAAATATCCTACAGGGCACAACACAGCCCCCCATGACAAAGAATAATTTGGCCCAAAGTGTCAATGCCATGGTCAATGCCTGGTCTAGCTGAAACCATTCAAGTCCAACTCTAACTTACCTATTACCTTTTTCATGAGGTCTTCTATGTTAACCCCCCAACCCCTAGAAGATTAAGGTACTCATTCCTACCAAAGTATTTTTTACATGGCCCAAATATAGGACTTATCATATTGTGCAGAGTATTGGAAATGTCTGCCTGTGGCCATGGCCTTCTTGTAAAGTTTGTTTGCAGAGGTAACCTTTCTTTTTGTATCTCAGGTAACACCATAGAAAATGGTGAAGAGCAATAACCAAAGGCAGAATAACCAAAACAGTTGGGCAAGGGACAGTAATGTCAAGATCACAGCACAGACCTATAGCCCACAAAGACATACACACTTAGGAAGAAAATCAGATTACCATACATATACTTCCTGATATGAATCTTCTAAGAGGTGTTTCTTCACCTTTTAGGGATTTTTCTTTTTTGGGGGGGCGGGGATGGGGGTTTGCTTATATTCTTTAATCCAAAGAAAACACCAAACTGTATGTACTTATAGCCACAAAATTTTACATTCACATTCAGCAGAGTTCACAGGCCCAAAATCCATTCAAGAATGCCAGGAAGGAAGGGAATTTGAAAATTATCTTTAACATTAAATAAGGCTAAGAACAACAGTGTAGGGAGTAAACTATTGACTGGAAGAACCAAGGAGCAAGTGATAATGTTAAACGCAGCAATTATTCCTGGTGGTCTAGTGGCTAGGAAAAAAATAAATACAGTAATTAACGTCAGGGGTATAATTCATGGATTAGGACATTACAGAGAAGTGGTGGGATTTGCTAGAAACTGAGATTTGGGTGATAAGTGAATTTGGACAAGATGTTGAGATTTTGTTTGGATGTGATTTGGATAAGAGGGTTTGAGATAAAGGGTAATCAATTTTATTTTGAATAGATATGGATGTCTTAATTTAAACAAGTTATTTTATTTTAAAATAATTTAATTTTCAAAATCAATTAAAATTTAAAAAATTTTAAAACTTTCTTAAAATAATTATTTGTGGTTTAATGCTAAAAAATTAAAGGTTGTCACCATGGGACAAGAATTCTAAGTTCTAATTGTTTAGTATGTGATGCTATACAGTTATAGTCTTGCCATCTTTTCTTATAAATGTCATTAAAGCCAAGGTTCACTGTTAATTACTGAACAACTAGTCATCTTATAATCAACCCATATCAAATACTAGCTATAAAATACTTTAGTGAGAAGTGTGCAGCATTCAAGAACTTTGTATTATTGATATAAAGTCTCAATAGTGATACTGATGGAGATCACTTAATTATTAGGTTTGATCATATGTTAAAAATAGTATCAAAGTAGCCAACAGGTCTTGTCCATCCCCATCTTGATTATTCTTTTTTTTCTTAATCTTGAGACAGAGTCTAACTCTGTTGCCCAGGCTAGAGTGCTCTGCCATCAGACTAGCTCACAGCAAGCTCAAAATCCTGGGTACAAGGGATCCTCCTGCCTCAGCCTCCCAAGTAGCTGGGACTACCCACACCTGTCATAATGCCTAGTTAATTTTTCTATTTTCAGTAGAGATGGAGTCTTGCTCTTTCTCAGGCTAGTGTCTAACTCCTGAACTCAACAGATCGACCCATCTTCCCAGAGTGGCTAGGCTTGATTATTCTTTTTAGTGGTTAATTTTCCATTTTTTAATCTCTTTTCTCTCTAATCTGCCAGTGAGAATTACAATCTATAAATAATTAAGTATAAAATCAGTCAACTGATTTATCATACATATAAATATGTCTCTTCCTCTCAAAAAGTTTTGTGTGTATATATTTGTATTAAGTTGGTAAGCACTTTGTGGATAAGGACTGATTCTTATGTAATTTTTCTTAACATCTACTCAAGTTTATTGATTCATAAGTTTAAAGTAGGTAACCTTTAACAATTCTTCTGGATCTCAAATGAGATCCAAATGCTGTGAACGACTGAAGGCACAACTCAACTCTTTTCTTTTCTTTCTTTCTTTTTTTTGAGACAGCATCTTACTCTGACACCCAGGCAAGAGTGCTCTGGCTTCAGCTTAGCTCATGGCCACCTCAGACTCACTGGTTTAAATGATACTCTTGCCTCATCCTCCAGAGTAGCTGGGACTACAGGTCTCTGCAACAAAGCTGGGCTAATTTTTCTATTTTTTAGTAGATACGGGTCTCTTGCTCTAGCTGGTCTGGGACTCCTGAACTCAAGCGATCCTCTGCTACCCAGAGTGCTAGGATTATAGGTGAGGATTACAACCACACCCAGCTCACAATTCAACTTTTTGTTGTTGTTGTTTTGGTTTTGTTAAATTATAACTGTGTACATTGATGCACAATTCAACTTTTAAAGTATTCTTTTTTCAACAATTGTTTATATTTCTTCAGATCAAATCTAAATTGAGAATTGTTCAGGAACTGAACACAAAAAACACATTTATTTTCCAGGACTTAAAAGTTTCAAATATTATACTTTCTAGTTATCTGAAATTGCATTAGGTTGAGGTTTTTAATATCCTACCACATTCTACACTTAACCAAAACAAATACACAACAGCTACGTAAATGCTACAACAATGACTGCTACATAAATATATTCAACTGAACTAATCAAACAAATTTTTTAAAGGTGGTGTTGGCAGTCAAGTGGCTTGACAAAAATTATTCATGACTGACATGAGTTTTGCCAAACAGGGACCCTCCCAAAGAGTGATCGAACATCTACTTTAGTTATCTTTAATAAATGAAATAAGCAAACTATTCTAATAAGGTTGAATTTTATATTACCCCGAAATTTAAAAAGTTTCTTTTCTACAATTATCTAGTAAACACACTAGTCTCTGAATACACTAAAAGGAGAATAACAACAATTTGGTATTAACTCTTAATAGCAAAAAGAGAAAAGTCCGCGAAGAACTGAGGCTTCCAAGGGCAAAATATGTACATCTTTTTTATTGCGACCGAAACGCCAAATAGTGCTAAGTGAAAACAATGCAGACCGTGGAAACAGCTGGATAAAAAGTGGGGGGCAGTTCTCTATTTTAAAACAGGACCTACTAAAAAATAATACCATAAAATGATGAGCTATGAAGAAAGCGAACCTTCAAAGGTTTCTTCATAAAAAGTTTGGGGATACGGGGACGGCCTGCACCAGCAACTTGATCGGGCCCTCCAGCCTGAGGCGCCAACCACCGCACAGGATCCCCCTCCAGACCCCTCAGGCCTGTCCTCAGCTGCGGCCTGGCCCGGGCACAAAGCGTCCCCTTTCCTCCGGTCCACAGCACGACCGTACTCACCGTGAGTCTCAAAGGCAGCCGGAGGTGGGGAAAGCAGGCTGCAAAGGAAAGACAGACTCGGAGGAAGGTCGGGTAAAAAAGGAGACAAAACTGCAATCGGCCCAGACCCTTCCAGCCACTAACTTCCAAACCTGCGAAGGCACAACACCGGTCAGCAAGCATCCTGCTCCGAAGGCACTTCCGGAAGCTCTCTAGGAATCCTGGAGGTCTGACAGCTCTATGGTCGGCCCGTGGAGCGGACGGGCCCAAACCATTCTCCCCCACCGTACGCAGCACCTTCGGTTCTTGCCGCGTCTGCGCGTCTCAGGGTTGTGCGGTTGCTGCGGACAGTGACGTCCTGGGAATGATGGACCCTGGGGGTCCCTTTGCGTCGCAGGCCCGGCCTGATCCGCAGGTTGGCGCGGGGAAGGGTCACGGTCCCCTGGAGGCAGATGTGCGGGCCGGCGGGGGCTTGGGCAGGGAAGTGGAAGAACCCGGTTATGCAGTGAAGGAGGGAGCACTTTGTGTTATCTTTGTGATGCTAATTAACTGGACTTGCACTTGGTCCTGTTAGATACCCTGTGTTTTACTGTTCTTAATGCATAAATGCTGTATATATCCAGTTCTCTCACGTAGACTGCAAATTTCTTGAGGAATTCCTGCCATAGTTCGTAGTTCTGTGAATTCCCTATGGCATGACACCTAGGAATAGTACACTTTATTGTTTGTGGGGTTTTTTTTTGCAGTTTTTGGCCGGGGCCGGGTTTGAACCTGCCACCTCTGGTAAGTGGGGCCAGTGGCCTACTCCTTTGAGCCACAGGCACTGCCCAGTAGAACCTACTTTTAATACCACAAAATTCAGGAAACAAAATTTATGTTCATTCTTTATATACCTGTTGTATTAAAGCCTTTAGCTTTTCAGACTAAGTAGGAGTTTAGGATTGGAGGTTGTGGGAAGTGTCTTTTATTTTTGTTGTTGTTTTTTTTTTTTTGAGACAGAGCCTCTAGCTGTCCCCCTGGGTACAGTGTTGTGGCATCACAGCTCACAGCAACCTTAGACACCTGGGCTCAAGCAAGTCTCCTGCCTCAGCCTCCCTAGTAACTGGGACCACAGGCACCCGCCACAACACCTGGCTATTTTTTGGTTGCAGCCGTCATTGTTGTTTGGCAGACCTGGGCTGGATTTGAACCCGCCACTTTGGGTGTATGTGGCTGGCGCCTTAACCACTTGAGCCACGGGCGCCGAGCCTATTTTTATTGTTTAGGTCCCACGTTTTTATTCCCTTCAGTGACTTTTCTAACTACACATTTATTGAGTTCTCAGGTGCCTCTCCAGTTTTAATTTTACTCTTACCTACTCCTGCTGGTAGCCACCCCCAAATGTTACTATCCCTTCTCCATTCCTAACTTAAAAATATTTTGTCCACCTACCAAGTAGTTTTGATTTGTTTTTAAGGGGTTTGCTAACTTGTCATTACCACAAAATAAACAGCAAAACATTTCAGTGCTTCTAGGCTTTTTCAAAGCATTTATTTTTGCTCTTTATTTCACAGTTCTTGCCTTCCAACCTTTAGGTATCCTTTAACTAGACGGAGCCACATAACTATAATACTGGAGTTTCAGGTTCTTAGTCTTAGTGATTTGAAGAATAAATCCGCAGACCACAGATCAGTGGTAAGACAGAATTTATTTACAGAAAAGAATACAAAAACACTAAAGTTCCTGGTAAGGAAAGAAAATCCAAGTTGGGAGAGAAAAGCTCTCTTTGTCTCTCTCCCCTGGCTCTTGTCTAGGGGTATATATAGGTGCATGGGTTCCTTGTATATGAGGCCAGAAAATGAACCTATACAGTTTTCCTCTGGGGCAAGATGAATGAATGTATCAATGAATGGACATAGTCTGTTCACAGAATTGAGGCCCAGGAAACTCACATGAAATTGACCTAGGCATAGGAAATGGGGGCTCCATATTCAGTCATAAGTCCAAAGAGAAGGAGACACTGAGGCGCTGGTGTCTCCCCAGCAGTTGTCCGGTCCCTTTGGCTATTGGAGCCTTTGTTGGGGGTGGAAGCCCCCCCACTTGCCTACCCTCTAGCCTGCTAGTTCCTCAGCTGGCTGCCGGCACCAACACCACCAAGGTGGAGGCGGCAGAGCTGAGCTGGCTGAAGCCCCACCTGTCCTGTATCAACTAGATAGAGGCTTTCTTGATATACCCAGATGAAATGTTGCTCTTCTCCATTAATACAACTACTATTCTCAGTTTTAATTACCTCATACTTGGGTGACTGCAACAGTTTTGAGACAGTCTTCCTAACTATCCAAGGCAAGGTTACTACAGTATGTTCATGCCTTTAAATATTATCATTTTCCCAGTCACTAACCCTGAATGGCTCCTCTCTTACTAAAAAATACATTTAAATTTTTCTGCTTCTTTTATGTTTTATTATATTTCTAGAAGTTAAAATAATAAAACATGATAAAATTATAACTTGGTAGTATGTAAAATAAAAAGCTGACATCTCCTCTACCCCCACATGCTATTACCTAGAGCAGTGGTTCTCGACCTTTCTAATGCCTCCTAATGCCGCAACCCTTTAATACAGTTCCTCATGGGTTCCTCCCCAACCATAAAATTATTTTTGTTGCTTTCATAACTAATTTTGCTAGTTATGAATTGTAATGTAAATATCTGATAGGCAGGATGTATTTTTGTTGTCACAAAGGGGTCACAACCTACAGGTTGAGAACCACTGACCTAGAGTGTTGGATTCTGAAAGGATTGTGGCAGACTTTTCCTTCAGATTTTCTTTTCAAGAATGTTTGTAACTCCCTCTAGAGTAGATTTGTTTCCTGACCAGGATAATGTCTCATTCTAGGGCAAGGGCTAGTAAAGATTGGGTTTTCCTAAGCGTGGGGCTCCTCTGCTAGGATACAAACTCACTGTGTGAGCTACATCTACTTGGGCCTCTCCATATGACTTCTGTGGGCTTTGGAGACAAGCAAACACAAAGCTCATGATGCCTGAGCCATTAAGCAGTAAAGTGTTTGGTCTCTGACCTAGGAGTCTAGTGTATTCTGCCAGTGTCCATGAAACTGTAGCAAGTTAAATTGTTAGCTTGCAGATAAGATGAAAACTTTACAATTTTTTAACATGGGGGTAATAATCACTGTTAAGTTTGAAGTGCATCCTTTTCCTTTATATATGCAAGCACCATACCTAATTCTCACATCTATATACAAAGTTTTCTTCCAAAAAAGATAGAATATATATTGTTCTGACACTGCTTTTTTCACAGATCACTTGTCATTTTAATCGCTGAATGATATTCCACAGTAGGATATAAGGTGTAATTATTCCTCTATTGATATACATTTAAATTTTTCCCTTTTTTCTACCATCAGCAATCCTGTTTGCCTTTTATTGCCTTCCAGAAAGTCCCCTTTCCTACCCAGTAATCATGGTCACATTTCATAAAAGGATTTGTCTCATTGCTCACTACTCAATAAAAACACTGGTCTACTAGTCTAGTGACAAGTCTTTCTCTATTTCTCTCTCTTAGGATTTTACCATTTTATTCAGCACTGATTACAATCTGTCTTATGTTTCTTGGTATTGTTACATTTGCAGTCATAGATTAAAGTTTCCTCACCGTAGGTGTCTAATGTTCGTTAAGATCACCCTCTCAACTGCAGTACCACCCTTGAAATCTGCAGATGTGTATACATTTTTATAGTGGTTTGACTTATTTTGTAAGTTAGCTAAATTAATCCAGGTGTTCTAGTCTTGATTCCTAGATAGGTCCTTATTTATCGAAGTACTTATCAAGCACCCATCATCTGCCAGAGGCCAAGCGAGGTGAAAACGCTGGACTAGGCACCGATATGAAGATCATAATGACCGTCAATCTTTTGCATTGTTCTTGGTTTCTGCGTTACACAAGTCTTACACTTTACTCCTTTTTACACCTGTTCCAGAAAAGCGAAAGTTGGCTATCTAGTCCTGTTAGTCTGACAGGAATGTAAGTGCTAGCACACACCGGGGAGGGGAGGGAAGGGAAGTGTCCTAAGACTAAGTAAGTTTCTACACGCACTCTCAGTTAATTGTGAAAACCAGCCTATGAAATAGGCACCAGGTTATTATCCCGATACATAAATGAAGAAACTGAGGCTTGGAGAGATTTAAGAAATTGCTCTCGGTGCTCTCTGGAGAGTGGTGGATTCTGAATTTGAACACATTTAAAAGATTCTAGCGGCGACACTTCAACCATTTCGCTTTGGGTCCTCATCCCCTAAGGATCAGCTACATCAGTGAACAAGTACACTCTGCAACCACAAGATGCAAATAGATGAATGGTCCTCGGCGCCTCTCCCCAGTCTGAGGCAAAGTCACAAACGTTCCAGCCCACCCCTCTCCTGGGAGACAAGTGCCTGCGAGCCGGCGTAGACTAAAAGAGTAAAACCCTTCTTTCCCCGGCAGTAGCCGGCTGAGGTCTCTCCTTGAAGTGGCAGCTCTGTAGGAGCGCTCCTCACCTCGGAGAACTGCTGGCTTTGGCCCCCTCGGTGCCTGGGCCTGCTGGGCCCCACGTTCAAAGCCGCTGGTTGGGGTCCACAACTGCAGAAAGGGCCCGGCTTCCGCGGGTCCGTGAAGGGCTTACTTTGCCGGAAGCTCCCAGCGGCCGTGAACCCGCCCCAAGCAGCTGTCGGACAGTGTATTTCCGGGTCCACACAAATGGGCCCCCTCTTTCGCCATTTGGGACCCGTACGGCCTCTTTCCAGGCCGGAACCCTAGTGTTTCGGGAGCTGATAAAGGCCGGCCCCCTTTTTCTGTTCTCTCGCGATGTCTAGCCACTTCCGCTTGGTAACGGTTCCAGAGCAACTTACTAAACCGGTCTGTGAGCTGAGCCCCGGGCGGGAGGCTAAACACTGATTGGAGAGAAGATCTGGAAGGTGAGTGTCGGAGGGAGCGCGAGGTTGGGTGGTGTTTTCCACCGATGGACAGTCTGGACCGTTGGGGTTGGGATTGGAATAACTATTAGGGAGCAGTTCAAAATTATGGCAATTGTTAAGATTATGGATGTTGGCTGGGCGCCTGTGGCTCAAGTGGCTAAGGCGCCAGCCACATACACCTAAGGTGGCAGGTTCGAATCCAGCCCGGGCCGGCCAAACAGCGACGGCT